AAAAAAAAAAAAAAAATCTTTTCATGTTTTCACATTCCTGAGACAGCAATGCACCTGTAGCTGACGGCGTCTTGGCGTTGATGTGATTCAGTCCTGGGAGCATTTGAAGCCACTGGGTATCTAGTCTGACCCTTCTCCATCTCCTTTTGGCAGTGGCCTGGTCTTTATTCTGTAAACTCTGGGCCTGTGTCAAGGCTGTGGGGAAGGGAAATGTGGAAGATGCAACCCTTTGCCCTCAGGGCGCTAAGTTTTTGGCCAGAAGAATGTGATGCCAGGGACATACATGGCCTGAGCCCCAGGAGGGGCAGGATGGATCTTGACAGGCGTGTGGCTGCTATAAAGCACTTAGTGGTTCCTCAAATGATCGAACCTACTGTGTATTACATACAGCAAATATGTGTTAGTTGACTGTATCAGTGAAGCTCTGGTCAGTAGTAGGTTATTAGCAGTTAAGCTTTTGGGGAGTCAAAAGTTCTATGTGGATTTCTGACTTTGAGGGAGGGTGGCGCCCCTAACCCATACATGCATGTCCATAGCAGCGTGATTCACAGTAGCCAAAATTGGAAACAATCTGACTGTCCCTTAGTGGATCAGTGGATATACGGAATGTGGTGTGTGTACTGAGGAGTGTGATTCAGGCCCCAGGAGTGCAGCCCTGACACGGGACACCAGGTGGATGAGCGTTAACACCTCACTCCAGTGAAAGAAGCCAGGTGCAAAAGAGCAAATACTGCACGAGTCCATTCTTATGAAATATACAGAATAGGCAAGTGCACGGAAGTTAGATCAGTGATTGTGAGAGGCTGGGGGGGCAGTGGAGAAGGGGCGAATGGGTATGGGTTTTCTTGGGGGGTAATGAAGATACAGTGATGGCCACACAATTTTGTGAATATACTAAAACAGTGAGTTGTACATTTTAGAAGGATGAACTTTACATGTGAATATCATCTCAGTTTAAAAACAGTCCTCAATGGAAGCAGCTTGATTGATCTTGGCTGGAGCTGACAGGCAAAGCTGGGAGGAAATGATACACACGTACATCGTGAGCTGGCCCATGGCTGGGACTGAAGCAGCCTGTATCTAGTCCATGGCTGCATTCCCGGGACCTAGCACACAGTAGGTGTGCAATAAATAGATGAGGGTGAGTCAGGGAGCCCACGGTTAGTGAATAGCTGTGGTGGCAATCACCAGGGTCTGTCTGACACCCTCTCAACAAGCTCTTGTGGGGAGAAGAAACAAATTCCTCATGGGCGAACCCTGCTGCCTTTCCCAGGGTGGGGATCAGAGGCTCAGTGCCAGGCAGGCATGGGGGCTGGGTGCTGGCAGCCCCAGGGTTTTCAGGGCCAGGGCAGAGGCAAGCAGCTGTTTCTGATGCCGCAGGAAGGACCCCTGAGGGGTCACAGCAGTGTTCTGGTCCTCACCCAGCACAGCCCCTATCAAGGGGGACCCATCCCCCTGCAGGGCTGCCAGGGCCTGGGCTGAGTGGGCACTGAAGCAGGACCCCAGTGAGGGAGCCAGGCGTTGGGGTGCCTCAGCCCAGCCCCCCAGGCTTCCCTGAGGGCTGACTGCTGATGCCCTGTGCTCTGCTGCCGACCTATTTTCCAGTACATTCTTAACTGGAAAACTTGGCCTAAATCCTGTTCCTTGCTGTGTGCCCAGGGCCCTGCCCAGAGCATCAAGGAGGCCCTTGGCACACACCACTGCATGGAGGAGTGAACTAATGAAGTGAATGAATGAATGAATATCATAAACTGGCTGCAGGGAACGAGAGATGCTTGCAGAGGCGGGGGCCACCTGCACTCCATCCCCCAGCACCCTTGTCCTGGACTTAGACCCCCAAAGCATTTCAGGGATGCTGGGGTGGCCCTGTCTAGACTCTCAGCCTGCTGAGGGTCCCTCACTTTCTCCCTGTGGACCCTCGGGCTGACTTGAGTTGGGGTGGGTTACAGCGCTGCCCTCCAGGTGGGGCCCCTCAGGGAGGGCACACGTCACGCTCCTGTGCAAACCTGCACCTGCACCTCTGTGTTCTGTACGTTTGATATTAAGAAATCGTTAATTCAGCTAGGTGCAAAAACAGTGTTTTAGTAATGTTTTATAGAAATCGTATTTTACAGATATCGCTGAATTATTTATCAATGAAATAATATGTCTAGATTTGGTTCACACTACCAATGAAGGGAGATTGGTGGTATTCTGGAGAGTTGGCTGTGGGCCTGGGGGCTGGAATGTGGCACATGGGGCTTTGTCGTTATGTTCGCGCTGCCTTTGTATAAGGTTTTCAAAACTAAGTGATAAATAATGAGTTGTAGTCACCACCATGTGACCTCATGAGGCCCCACAATGTAGGCATCAGTGGCCCCTTTGCAGTCAAGGAAGTGGGCGTTGGTGTCAAGAGCCTGAGCTCTCAGATGACGGGGCACCGTCTTCCCACTAAGCCCCCTGCACAGAGCCGCCACCTTGTCAGTAAATACCTGTGCACTTTAGTTATCCGAAGCCCCCAGCCAGTGAGTGATGGGCTCAGAAATGGAACCCACTTTCTCTGCCTTTAAGCTTCTGGGAAATCCTCCTTTTTCTCAAAAGAGGAGAGAAAAGATACTAACCTCCTCTCCCAATGCCTTGGGCTTCCACAGCCCTGCTGGGGATGCGGAGCTGTCTCCACTGACAGACTTGGAAATTGAGGCTCAGAGGGGCCTAACTGCTTCGTTCACACCTATTCTCACAGTTCACAGGTGGTCACAGCTGGGACCCCCAAGCCCTCAGGCCCCAACCTCCAGGCTTCCTATGCCCACAGTGCAGCTACCGTCAGTGTTAAGAAAGAGCTCTTGTCCCTCCCACAAATGACAAAACAAAACCCAAGCCCACCAGCCCTCGGGCATGTCCAGGACATCATCCCTTGACCTTGGACTGCAGATACACAGGGTGGGCGGACCTGTTTCTCCTGGGGACCGGCCTTCGGGCTCCAGAGGAGGCCACTGTGTGTGGCTGGGGGACTGAGGTTCCCGTGTAGTTACAGAGCGCAGGCTGGCCAGTGCCCCAGGCACCTGCTGGCTCCGTGGAATGGGACCTCTAGGAAATCAGGAGGTGGTGGGCCTTGCCAGGCGAGGAGTCTGCGGTTTGCATCCAAGTTGCGACCTAGGCCACTGGAACTCGGAAAGCCCTTTTGGAAAAGGCTCTGATTGGGAAGGGGGTTGTGAGCGCTTTCTTCCCCTTACCGACTCCAAGGTGCTGCACTAAGGCCTCCACCGTCAGGGCAGCGAGCGGTCCAGGCGCACCGACCCTCCCCGATGAGCGTGCGCCGGGGCCGCGCCCGGAGCAGCCACTCCCACAGCTCGGGAGCCCTCGTGGGCTGCACCCCTGCAAGCCCTGCGCCCCCACCGAGACCCACCTCAGCCCCACGCCCCGGCAGGGTCCCTGACCACAGTCTCCGGCCTTCGCCCCCGAGACTCGCCTCTCGGTGAACAAAGCTGACGAGCTAGCGACCTGCCAGTGTCACCCCCACGCCCCGCCGACAGGGACCCCAAACTCCAGCCCCGGAATGCCCCTCCCCCCTCGCCGGGGCCCCGGCCGGCTCGGCTGGGAGGGGGCTGGGGACGAAACTCTGGGCCACCCAACCTCGAATGCGCCCGGGCCGCGAGCGCAGAGAACAAGGGGGCGGAGACCCGGCCTGTGCGCCCCCAGCCCGCGTGGGGACCGCTCCTGGGGGGCGTCCCTGGCCCGCCAGACAGGCCCCCGCCCCCCACCTGCCAAAGGGCTCTCGGCGGCTCCGGCAGCGGAAAGGAGGGCCCTGTGGGGAGGGGCTGCGGCTTGCTGCGGGGAGGCGTCGCTTGGGGGTCCCGGGGGCCGGGGCTGAACTCACCTCCGGGGCCGGCGCTCTCCGGGGGCTCCATGCGGCCGGCGGGGTCCGGGAGGGGCGCGGGCGACGGCGGTGTCTCCTGGCCCAGGCGCCCCAACAGCTGCGGCAGCGGCTCGGCCCCGGCTCCGGGCGCAGCGCATCGGGGCAGCAACCGGGGGGCCGCGGCGGCGGGGAGGAGCCCGCGGGGCGGGGCGCGCAGCTGCACCCGGGCCCCGGCCCCCTCTCGGCGCCCCCGCCAGCCGCAGGACAGGTGCGGCCCCGCCCGGACCCGCGCGCGCCCCCTGCCGGC